GTTAAGCTTCACATTAACATAAAGTAGCCTATAATAAAACAGGTTTCATAGAGCCAAAACATTTCAAGTGCTACTCAACTAGCTTTAGATAAGCCAGTCCTTTATTAGTATATAAGTGCTTTGTTAATAGTTATATCGCTCGAAGTGGAGTCGAAAGAGATGAGTTTTCAGTCTGCGCCGGAAGATGTAGTATAGTAGTATTCGTTTATTAGTCCCCAAGGGGAAAATGGGTTGCAGCACATCACAGAGGCATGTGTAAGCTATCTGCTATCCTGATTTCAATGGGGAGTTCATTCCACCATCTTGGAGCCAGGACAGCAAACCCACGTGTTTTTGCTGATGGGAACTTGGGTCCCCCTCACAGCGAGGGTGCAGCGAGTCGTTTGGCTGATGCAGAGCGTAGTGCACGTGCTGGGGAGTACGGTTTAACCATGTCCTGGATGTACGAAGGGCCAGATCCATTCGCAGCATGGTACGCAAGTACCATTGTCTTGAAGTGGATTCTGGCAGTTACCGGAAGCCAGTGAAGGGAGCGGAGGAGCGGAGTGGTGTGGGAACATTTAGGAAGGTTGAAGACCAGACGAGCCACTGCATTCTGGGTGAGCTGCAGAGGTCGGATGGCACATGCAGGTAGACCAGCCAGGAGGGAGGTGCAGTAGTCTAGGCGTGAGATGACGAGAGCCTGAAAACAGGTTTTTTTTAGCTGTTCAGAGATTTCAAAACACAATTTTAGCTAGAATAACTACAGAACAATTATACAGAGTAGAATAAATGGAACAGAGAGGTCTAGAAACAGAAATATAATAGTACAGAGATTACTGAGCCAGCAGGATAGTCCTTATCTGGTCAGGATAGGTACACTGACCTACAGTCTAAACATCCTCCCAATTCTCAGGAAAACTCAGGGAGTGTTTTACTGGAAGGCGTGTTTCCTTACAACATTCTAGGAAGGCGCTTAGTGCCCTAATAAATCCCCTGACATGTAAAGAAACCAGGTGACAAACTGATCCTCATTCCACCTCCTCACACATCTACAGGTCCGAAGTGCAGGGGTGCCGTAAGGAGGGTCAAAATAAACAAGCATAGTTATATTGGATAGAGAAATTAAGAGCATTAAGAAATAGTGCAACGGAAACACATTATAAACATTAAAAAGCAAAGATAATAAACCATGAATAACAAAGGTATATGAATACACGTTTCAGTGCAGTGTAAGATGTGAATAGTACAATTAAAAGCAGCAGCAAAAAGAACAGTCTTCAAAGCCTGGATTAAAAGAAGTAAGAGTTGCAGCGGACCAGCGTTTGTTCAAGATATTTGGCTATAGCCCAAACCAAATTCTCACATTCCTCTACCCGTGGTCTTCCCGTGAAATTATATTTATTTTGTCACTTTTCTAACTTTTTTATATTCCTTTAAATCCTACTCTTTCATCTATTTTGCATCCCCAGACAACACATTTCCCCTGTTTTACTGTTACCCGAAAACACCTTTAAACCACTTCTCTTTTCAATTCCCAGAATTAGGATATTTAAACCATGGTTTAAGACTTCCCACATGAATCTTTGGACTTTAAACCTTTAGAACACAGAGTAGGCTTCACAAAAATAAAAAATATCCTTTACTCTCCATACAACATAGTTAAAAAGTGTTTTAGTCATTGCAGTGCATTCTGTGATAAGTGGCCCGATTATGCTTTTTGGGGTTAACCGTAACTTTAGTGTGTTTTATACGTTTTTGTGCATGTAAATTGTCTGCAAAAGGATGACATCACTATGTCACTCTTGAGCTTCTATTAGCTAGCGCTTAAACACATTGTACTAGATATGCTACGGGGCGGGACATCTCTAAGCGGTGGATAACAGAGCCGCCAGCTTACCAATCAGAGCAGACTGGGCTCTGGTTTCAGACAGAGGGTGAAAAGAGGTGCTGCACAGGCAGTATGTGAAAAATAAAGACCTTTTTGACCATTAAAGCATGGAGACATGTCACAGTAGAGGCACAAAATACAAATATGAACCTGAACATTAGCATAATAGGGCTCCTTCAAACACAGCACAATCCTTCTTTTTATAGGCTCGTCAAATTAAAAAACTAGGTCACACTTTACCGTATAAATATAACCAGTCAAGACTATAATCAATATACTAATATTCCTCATGTGTGGAGCTAGAGAATGTATGCTAGTTAGCTAGATGATACTTTTATTAAATAATGTTTCACTTCCATACTTTTGTTCATAAGCTAATGTCATGCTATAAACAACATCACGCTGCATGGCTGCACATCACCATGATTAAGCTAAAGGCAGACTTGTGTTGCTGTGATGACGTTAAGTAGTCACTTATTAGCAACCGCCGTTTTGATAGAGGCTTTGGGCATTCACAAGTGGGGTATTTATTGACCCCAGACCTTATTTCAGGCTTCTAACCCGGACACATTAAAAAAACATTGTCTTCAAGACGTGGGAAGTCTTTTCAGGCTTTTTAGGACTCATTACTGCACCACTCTATTGGACAATACAGCAGAAGAACATATAACACACAACAAAACATGTATATTTCAAGGTTCAAGGTTCTTTATTTGTCATACGAACTACAGAGTAGTTATGTCGATGAAAATCGACATAACTACACAGGTCACAGGCTTCTCCAACAGTGGAACACAATCACACAGAAAAACTATAAAATATAGTGCAAGTAAATATTAAAAAGTAAATACAAAAAAAAAATAGTTTAAAAAAAGTGAAGTAGTGAAATAAGAGTCTACATGCAAGCTATTGGAATGATATATTAGATAAATAGATACATAATTACTAAGTAGCAGATGAATATTGTGGATGTTGTTTCAACAGTTCAGGTGTTTAACAGTCTTATCGCCTGTGGGAGGAAACTGTCTATGAATCTGGTGGTTTTAGTCCGGATGCTGCGGAACCGCCTGCCAGACATTTCTTCCTGAGCCGCTGGGAGTAAAGGTCCTCCATGGATGGCAGCTCCGTCCTGGTGATGTTCTGTGCAGTTTTCACCACCCTCTGTAAGGTAAAGCCTTACGATTGAGGGCGGTGCAGCTGCCGTACCAGGCCGTGATGCAGCCAGTCAAGATACTCTCTATGGTGCACCTATAGAAGTTGCAGAGTATCCTGGAGTCCATGTTGAACCTCCTCAGCCTGCGGAGGAAGGAGAGCCGCTGTCGAGCTTTTTTGGTGATGGTGGTGTATATCAGGTCCTCAGTAATGTGGACACCGAGGAACCTGAAGCTGCTGACTCTCTCCACCGTAGTCCCATTGATGGCGATGTTCTAGTTATTGTTCCTTCTTAAATTATTTTACAAGGAAAATGCTATAAATTGATGGTTAGAGTTTAATATGTTAAAATATGTTATTTCAAACCCAGCAAATAAATAGTTGGAATAAATAGAGCACCAAACAGGCAGATTGAAAGTGAAAGATGTTTTGATACGTGTACACCACAAGATGGCAGCAGAGACGCTTTAATAATGGAGGCTAATTTTCCCCACACATAAAGGAACACTACGAAGGTTTCCCATTTCTCTAATTTCCCCTCCTTGACTCCTATCCTCGACTCCTATCCTTGCGTCTTAGTCTCGACCCACGAGATGCGAGCGGAGGAGTCGAGGAGGGGAACCGAGGAGAGAGGAGGGGAAGCAGCAGGCGGTTAGAGAAATGAGAACTCCTCTCCTCTGAGCGGTCATTTTAAAGAGACGTCCATTAATGATGACAGGAGGCACAGCAGCCCTCTGTCTGATGGACAGATGTGTTCATGATGACTTATATATTTACTTTTAATTCATTCAGTTAGTGAGTGAGTGAGTGAGTGAGTGAGTGAGTGAGTGAGTGAGTGAGTGAGTGAGTGAGTGAGTGAGTGAGTGAGTGAGTGAGTGAGTGAGTGAGTGAGTGAGTGAGTGTGTGTGTATGTAAGCAATAGAGAGAGAATGTGTGTTTGTAAGACATTCCCTCAAACCAATGGATCGTACCTATTAGAAGTGTTTCTTGCCCTTTTCTTTGCAAAGTCTGTGATAAGTTCATTAAAATCCTAACATTGCTCGCTAGCTCAACAACATCCTCAGGCTCCGTGACCGTCACTGTTCCTTGCGGTTGCTGGCCTAATTCGTCACTTTAAAAAAAAAGGTATTTATTGTTGGGAAATGTTTTAATGCAGCCGCCACTCTCTCTTCCTTTTCTTTCTATTTCTTTCTTTACACTGGGTGTTTGGCTGCTACCGACCGGCACCATCCATCTTTTAGCTCGCGTGACTCAATGTGACATGGGTGAAGGTGGGGTTCTGATTCGGCTATAGACCGCCGCCGCGTAGTAATAAAGTTGAGCGCATACATAGTGAGACCTACAGTACAGAGACGGTTTAGAAAATATATGAATTTGACCCTATAGGAAAGCCGAGTTATTTATTGCGGCAGAGAGTGAGTTTCATTTAAAACAATGTATGATGAGTGAGGTTGTGCCAACAAAGCAAAAAAAAAATATATATATATTTCTTCCTCTTGTCAATGAGGGCCCTCTCTTGGTCAAGCGCTCCTGGCCACGTGCCCAGTGTGCCCATATGGTTAATCCGGCCTTGGTTCTTACCCCACAGGCACACATTTCATTTAAGAAAAATTGTTCTAATGGAATATTGATATGTTGGATGTCAGTGTATTTGTGCTGTTGATGTAATGCATCATCATGGCAACTGCAGCCCAGTGAGGTGTCAGTTAAAATAGTTCAAACAAGTCCAGTCTTGAAATGAACATCAGCTGTGTAGGACAGACAATGACTTATCACAGGAATCATATTTCAGCCTCTGTTAGTCCCTTTCTCATATGAGATCCCCGATGCCTCACTATTGCCAACATACCTGTCTGAATATAAATTCTAGTCAAATTTGCGACCAAACAGGGTGGAGCAAGGGGAGGTATGTGTGTTTGTGTGTGTATCTGGCAGGGATTTAGTGGGTGTCTCCGTAACATGCGAGCAGTAGAAAGTGACAGAACTGGTGGGATGAGTGAGTGCAACAGTATGAGAAAAAGGAACAGGACAGAACAAGATTTGTTTTTTAATTAAATATTTGTGAATGTAGGTGTTTTGCAGACCTACTTTTTCCCATGCTGCCCTAACCCTCCCATGGTATGTATTTTGTTGTTTCTCAATTATATGTAACCGCCAGTTTTATATCATGTAATTAAAACATGTGGTTATTGTGTCCAATCATATCATATTCCTTTCCAGACTAACTTACTGTATAAATATGATGTTTTTGGATTAATATTATTGCTTCATTATGGTGTGTTTTGCATTTTACTGCTGTAGATGCTCTGTTCATTTTCACTTAACTTTTATGGAGCAGTTTTAATCGCATCATGCTTGATAAGATCATTATGTCTGTAGCTTTGTTCTGGAGGAACCGCGTATCTCTAAAAAGTACATTTTCTATGAAGAACAGCCCTATTTTGAGCAATTTCAACACTTTTGAAACACTTTAATTCAGTTTAAGAAGGAGGAGATTTCCTTAATAAAAAAAGCAAAACTTAATCTTTCACTTTATCTAAAATATTCAAAATCAACACATCTGAATGGTTTTCAGGAAGGGAAGCTAAAGATTTCCGATATTGCGAGTGCAAAAAAAGTGTACTATTTATTTTATTGCAGTAGAAGTATAGAGTTGCAAAAACTAAAAATACTAAATAAGTAAAAGAACCGACATTTGGTACTTTAGAGCATAATATAAAGAAACTCACAATACAATTCGCTATGGGATGTACAGACTGGTAGATAACCTAACATTTTTCTTTAGGTTAATATAATGGGAAAACGGTTGTATTGCTCTTTACTATGATAAATTAGAAAAAGGAGCAGTTTAATTTATGAAAAATATTGACTACATAAGGAAATATACAACAACTAAGAAATACTCACACCTGAAAATGTTTGGATTCTAATAAAATAGCCCTGCAATAAATCCTACCACTGTGTACTGTTGTTTTAACAGTTTCAGAAAGGTGTGGATTCAACTTTATGGGGCTGTTGCTTTGTAATATTTCATAATGAGATGTTGTTCTAATATCGTGTCCAACTTATCCAATGAGGATAAGTAAATATAAACTAGGTGTGTCTGATAAAAAACACACACGCTTTGAGTGGCAAACTACAATATTGATATGAACTCATTATTGAAAGAGCACTGCTACAAATGTCAGGCACCTAAGTAAGCACAATAAGCGATAAATCACAGCCCTTTGTTCATGGAAATGTTATCCTTATAATGAAGGAAGCATAAATAAACCCACAGAACAAACAGTTTGGTGCTGTAAAGTAGTACAGTATAGTTTCATTACGTGGTCAAGTCCAAAGGTTAGGGTTAGGTGACACCAAGGTCATAACTCAAATGATAACTCAAAACGTTATTACAACACAAACACTATTTTATCACTAGCCATATATGCAGTTGACAGTTGATGGGGAAACAGTCACGTCAGCATTATGTCATGGATATATTTCTTCACATGTCTGTATTCATGTGCAGACAGGGTGCCGTGTTTGCCTCGTCTAGGAAGTCACTAGTGGGGCATGAGTAAGTGACCACAGCTGGATGTAATACAAGAGTGAATATCTTTGAATACACATGGACAGAACAGTGGAAGTAAATAAATGAATATTTTCTCAGACACAATAGTGTAGCACTAAGAGAGAGCAGGAGAAGGCTTATTTTAATTTCATCACAGTACAACCCTGTCTCCTAAAAATTACGTTCCCACAGAACTAAACCGCATTCTCAATTACGTTTAGCTAGCAACGTATTTTCTCCCACGTTACGTTCGTTATGAACGTATCTCAAATACGTTTATTTTCTACATATCTTTGCCATTTATTGTCTTGCTTAAAATAATGATAATAGTCATTTATAAATATCATTTTAGAGCACACATTTGAAATCAGTAGGCGAGGCTGTAATTTCGCCAGCTGTTACTCTCATGAGCGAGGCAGAAAATAATAGTTTTATCATGCCAAAAAGCTGCTGTGTCGTTTATTGCACCTCAAACATTAAAACAAATCCAGAGTTACGTGTTTCTGTACTTCCTCTAAGAAGAAAGGACAGTAACAGAAGATCTCTGTGACCCCAGATGTGGTGTTGTTAATGCGATATGATATCCGGAAAAAAATTCAGTTTAGGATGGCCGAAGACACTACACTACCCATAATCCCCAGCTCTCGTTTGGGACTACTGTCACGATCTGTCTTTGTGGTGTTTTGTCTTGTCTAGATCTGTTTTTGGTTTTCTGTCTGCGTTGTGTTTTGTCTTGTTTGGATCTGTCTGTGGTTCCCTGTCGTTAGTTTCCCTGGTGTGTCTGATTACCCGATTGTGTTCACCTGTGGCCCCTGTGTTTTCTCCTTCCTCCTCACCTGTGTCTTGTTTGTGTGATTAGTCTTGTGTGTATTTAAGTTCTGGTTTTTCTGTCTTTGTCGGTTCGTCTTTCGTTGTTGACTGTGTTCACCGGTGAGTGTTCTGTCTGTCCTAGTTCTATTTTTGTTATCCTTGAAATAAAGGTATATCAGTTTAATCTGCATTTGGGTCCTGCTTCCTTCGCTCTACCGTGACAGATACAGTCCCGTTGACAAACCCCGTGATTAATCTTCAAGCTCTGGGATTGGATGTTGGAGTGGCAGTGCGCCAAGGTTACGCCGAGCATCAAGCTCTATGAAATGGAACGAAACCACGGCAGACTATTCAAAACTGGACTCGAACGCCCCCCCAGAACTACACATGCTGGCTATTGTGTTTCGCAACATGTTCTCTATGGCACGTCTCTACTGGGAATTGTAGTTTTAAAAGACGTTTTCCCCAAAATTAGAAGTTGACAGTATTACACTGTGTACAGCCCTGGAGGTTTAGGCGATAGGAAACACATTGGTGTGTACACATTTAAAACATGTAATTACTAAATGGGTGAAAATCGCTTGTATCCATAATGGGCTGCATTAATATATACCCACATGACAGCTCATTGTTACTTTGTAATTCTACTCCACTACAATTCAGAGGTTAACCTGGTATTTTTACTCCACTACATGTATTTTAGTTACTTTGCAGATCCTGATTAATGATGTGAAATATAAACAACCCTTACATCAGACTTTAGTTACACCTGAGTGAAATTCAGGGAAAGGTGATTGTCAAGTGCCAACAATCAGGCGAGATATTTGATAGTTGGTGCTTGAGAAGACTAAACATTTATCTGCAGATCTCTATAAAGTATATTAATTACTCGTATTCTCTACTAATAGTTAATTAAAAACTGTATATAATTGCTATTTTGCACATCCCTTTCAAGATTTCCTAAGGTTTATTGACATATCATATACACAACTAGGGAGGGACTGTCATGGTTGACACGTCTCATCAACGTTGCGTGGAAGTCGGAAACAGTACCGAAGGAGTGGCAGACCGGGGTGGTGGTTCCCCTTTTCAAAAAGGGGGATCAGAGGGTGTGTGCCAATTACAGAGGCATCACACTACTCAGCCTCCCCGGGAAAGTTTACTCTAAGGTACTCGAAAGGAGGGTCAGGCCGATTGACGAACCTCAGATTGAGGAGGAACAATGCGGATTCCGTCCTGGTCGTGGAACGACGGATCAGCTTTTTACTCTCGCAACGATCCTGGAGGAGGCCTGGGAGTACGCTTATCCGGTAAAAAAAACACGGGAAAAATTATACGATTTAAAATAAAAACAAATAAGTAAAAAGATAAAACACTGGCATGTAATTTACGTTAGAATAAATAGAATGGTTTTGAATAATAGGTGAGAGTAAAATCTACGTCACTTTACAGCCCCGCCCACTTTTTGGGAAACCAACGCTGTCATTTGAACGGCGATCAAGCCTGAAGCCACAGAGATCTTCTGTTACTGTCCTTTGTTCTTAGAGGAAGTACAGAAACACGTAACTCTGGATTTGTTTTAATGTTTGAGGTGCAATAAACGACACAGCAGCTTTTTGGCATGTTAAAACTATTATTTTCTGCCTCGCTCATGAGAGTAACAGCTGGCGAAATTACAGCCTCGCCTACTGATTTCAAATGTGTGCTCTAAAATGATATTTATAAATGACTATCATTATTATAAGCAAGACAATAAATGGCAAAGATATGTAGAAAATAAACGTATTTAAGATACGTTCATAACAAACGTAACGTGGGAGAAATATGTTTCTAGAAGATATGTAGAAAATAAACGTATTTGAGATACGTTCATAACGAACGTAACGTGGGAGAAAATACGTTTCTAGCTAAACGTAATTGAGAATGCAGTTTAGTTCTGTGGGAACGTAATTTTTAGGAGACAGGGTTGCACAGTATGTATCATTCTTTACAGCTCTTCCTTTTAGGTTGAGACATTCATTTTAAGCTTTTAATGTAACTTCTTACAATTATTTTTTATAATTATCGCTTATTTATTTTTTGGGGATATTCATATGCTGGTTTGCGGCCAAGTAGGTCTAATCCATGTCCGGATTAGCTCTGCTCACATTAGCGTAGCTTAATAGCTGGCTTTAATCAGATATTTTTCCAACTTCTTTTATCAGCCAAACTAGTTCTTTCGGATAAAGAACTTCACCCCTCACAAAAGATTGTATCTTAAGAAAAAGTTTCATAACCAAGAGAAAATATATTGTGGCATTTTCGAAAACTGTATTTTGACAACTTTTATAGGATGGTAGGGGGTAACTCCGTACATTAACATCATAGCCTACACTAAGCCTGATTGGATGGAAAGAGGTCACAGAAAAGTAGTCCATATTTTGATATGCAGAAATGGGTTTTAATGAACCCATTCTCATCATCAAACATATTTGCAGATTTTGAACTAATCTTACCTCATACAAAGGGCAACATTATTGTAAAGTATATATCAGTACAGACAGTCTGGGCAGGAATGTTTTCCGTTTTTAACAGACACTTAAAGATCATCGAGATTCTTTCATTGAGCTTGTGCTCTCTAAATAAAAAAGATACTCCCATAACCGAAATAAACAGCATGCTGGCATCAACTTTAGTTCTCAAGCATTCCCCGACTGTATTGCTGAACTAAACAAGTGTTGTTTCCCAAGAGCTGGTATGTGGTTAGACCACAGGAACAGGATTTGACATGTTTTTTTTGTATCAAAGGGACGATTGTAAATGGGTTTCTACTCCTTTGGGGTTCAAGATAATCAGGGCTAGGTAAATCTAATCAAATCAAATCAAGTTTTATTTATATAGCACATTTATAAACGATTTTTGGTCGAGCCAAAGTGCTGTACATATAATCAAAATAGCCTACAGTAGAGACACTTTACAGCAAATACAACAGCACAGATTGTTCAGAATATCAGTATGAGAAAAACAACACCCTCTATCCTCTAACTCTAGACTTTTGTCTTATCAGTGTACTGTGGTACGCTCACCTATACTAGCTGGTATGTAAAGCATTGTCCTCTTGAAAAAGGCACGTATTGCCATAGGGTTGGCATTACTGTACGTAAGTGTGTCATTGTGCAACTTGAAAGGCTGTAGCATGAGACGGGAATATATTATAAATGAAAATGTCTTGGCATTATGTCATTCTTGCTCTTGTAATTCAAATCCCAAAACCTAGGAGATGGTTGCAACAAAACGGAGTCACGGCAGATTACAGTAGAGGAAGATTTCCTCACCTGTAATCATGTCTGTCATGTTGTTGATTTAATTCCTACTATTATCAGCCTATTGCATTTCACAAGACTTCATTTAGTTCTCTCGGCAGCCAAGTATTGTAATTGATCAATAAAGACTGACGAGAGAGAATAATGGTGCTCATTTAATTGAGTCACTTTATATAAGGAAAGGGAGCGGTTATCAGCTGTCTACAGGCAAAGGCACGTCTATTGCTCATAAAATCTTCAGCATCATTCTTGTTGATGTAAATCTTTTCCATTGCACAACCGTCCAACAACATGGACAAACATCAGCTAGTGAAAAATATAACATGTATTTGGCTTCCAAACAAGAACAGGCGTGTGTGCCAGCGATGTTTAACCCTGCCTCTGATTGTAATCACCTCTCCATCAGCTTCTTGAAGCTGTCTTTTTTTTCTTACAGAGCACCAATGTCCAACACGACCCCCACCACAGATGCCTCAGGCGGACAGCTGTTCTGTCCCCTGCTGGAGATGATGAAGGAGCACCGCCTCAACAACAACACACAGGCCAATTTGGTGGTGGTCTGCATCCATGGACTGGTCTCCTGCCTGGGGATTTTGGAGAACGCCCTCATCCTCTGGGTGGTGGGCTTCCGCTTGAGACGCCGCACAGTGGCATCTATCTGGGTGCTCAATCTGGCCATGTCTGACTTCCTGACAACTCTGACGCTGCCCCTATTCACCTACTATCTCTACTCCTCGCATAGTTGGGAGCTAGGCAGCCTACTTTGCAGTATGCAGGCGTCCATCTTCTTCTTAAACATGTTCGTGTCGGCCTTCCTGCTGGCAGCCATTTCAGTGGACCGCTACCTTCTGGCAGCCAAGCCGGTGTGGAGCCAGAATCATCGCTCAGTGCAGGGAGCGTGGAAGGTGTGTGCGTTGGGTTGGCTGTGGGGACTGATCAACACATTGCCTTTCTTGATGTTCCGTGCAGTGACCGAGAAACAGGATGGGAGAAAACTGTGCTATCATAACTTTGCCTTGTATTCATCCTCTCAATCCACTCTGGAGAGAGATTGCAAAGTGAGGCAAGCGTCAACCGCCATCTCCAAGCTCCTGCTGGCATTCCTGTTCCCCCTGGTGGTAATCGCAGGAAGCTACATCCAAATTGTTATCAGCCTGAGGAACAGAAGCAGGAGGAGGAAGCAGAGTGCCGGGCGGCTCATGGATACACTTATTGTGTCCAACAAAGATGGGGCAATAGAAGCCACAACTCCTACAATCACAAAAAACTCTAATATATTTCTCAAGCCTCTGTCTTCAGGACCATCTTTATCACTGACACCCACTTACTTGTCACCTACTGCCCCTAATCCCAATCAGCTGTCCAAGAGCTTCACCAAGATGGTAACATTTGTGATCGCAGCTTTTGTTCTGTGTTGGGCACCCTATCACATCTTCTGCATGATCGAAGTGACAGCCCAGTATTGGCAAGAAAATCTCAATTTTGTGGAGGTGGGGCTGCCTTTGGCAACAACCTTTGCATTCTTAAATCCTGTGTTGAACCCCATTCTGTACGCCTTCAGCTGCCCAAACTTCTGTGTGAGAATACGACAGAGTCTGGGAGAGGTGTTTGACGGTCTGGTAGAGGAAGGAGGGGGGTTACTTTTGGTTCCTGGGAGAACTATAAGAGCTCATATTAGACGGAAGGGCAGTCGAGATGTGAACTTTGAAATGCCGCGGTCACCAAAGGGCTCAAGTTCACTGTGTCCATCAACTCACAGCCCATCGTCCCAACCACTGCATTCACTCTCTGAAGGTCTCAAAGACACTCATAAATCAAAAGATGTGGTTGAGCCTAGCTGAGACTACATTTTTGTTGGAAACATGTCCAAAGGTCTCCATGTAGATATAGGCCTTATTCAATGGAAGCCACCACAAAAAGCATGTATGGAACTCTGTCGCTCAGTTCATTTATCATCTTGGTCCAGACTGAAATAACAATTATAGGTGATACCATAACTTTTCCGTGTAGCTTCTGCATGATTCAGATTATTTAGTTTTTTATTTAAATGTCTTGAAAACTATTGTGCGAAATAAGTATTCCGCCACAGCATGCATTTTGATAACATTTGTTAATTTTCATCTAGCAACACCATGAGATCTTCAAGACAATATGTGCATTGTGACTTCATTTAAATATCGTCCAAAAAAAAAGTTTGCACAGCATTGAATGGCATCACTCTATGCCATAAATCAAGTTATATGTATTATGATAAATCTTATTCTAATGCAACTTGCAATAGTACGGAAGCCATTAAAGCCAGTGAAAGGGAATGAAAAATCTTCGTTACTTTAAAAAGTGCTTTTTTAAATCTGTGGAATCAGGTGAAATAAAAAATCTTACTTCAGATGTATTGATTTTCTTTATTATTTTGTCATTATCATTTTCAAAATGTTTTCTTTTCTTTCTGAATTTCAGCCACATTATGTGCACCGCATATTCGAAATAGGACTACAAACATTTATATTTTCTTTTCACCACCAGTGGCGGCGCCAGGGTATGGCTGGGGTAGGCTACAGCCATACCAAGAAATGGCTTAGCCCTACCTTAGCCCGACCATGAAAAAGTATGTTAAAGTAAGCATGTTGAGAACACGGATTGCGAAAATCTACCGTTCGTGTCCACAACACACAAACTGATCCTGCTGCAACAACAAGTGCACGTTACTGACGCAATATGGTTGAGGCCATTCGGGCTTATGCTAGAGGGGTGCAAGGAATAGTCTAAGTAGTGGGGGAGTTTGATACACTAAATGTGTGGACATTCTCTCGCGTTATAATATCAGCGCGGCCGCGGTCAGATCAAAATGCCTCCGAATGCAATTTGAATAGACCTACAGCCAATCAGAGCAACGAAACGTTGGTTCTGCTGCGTCATGCATTACTGATATGTCACGTTCAGTGAAAAGTCCCCAAACTCGCGCAGAGTAAATTGCAGACAGACACAGGGGCGGCGGGTGCTGTAGGCTAGGGAAGGCTAAGCCTTCCCAAATATTTGTGTAACTGCATCCTGGTAAAATAAAAATATAATGTCTTTGACATTAGCGCTGCTATGCAGCCACCTGTGCCCTGTACCACGAAGCCAGTTCAACATACCCTGGATATGCTTGAGTTATCTTAACTAACCCTAACAAACGCGATCTCGCTAAACGGTCCTACGGCGCTGGTTTTCAACTCGGTAAATCAAGCCGAGAACGCGTTCACGTGAAAGGGGCGGGGTTAGCTACATTTGACCAATCACAAACAGGGACAAGTGTACTGACAGCGCAACATCATACTTCATTAATGAAAAGTAAACTAATATTAGACAAATATGAACTTTAAACATCCATGATGACTTAAACATATAATCCAGGATACAAGCCACATAGTTGCACCTGCAAGGAGAATACAGAACAACTCGTTAAAAAATAAACTACCGAGTGTTTGAAAGCCTACAACAGTTTTATGATACTGCCCCATCTAAAACACGAGGGGATCTGACTTTATTACATTTGAGTTGAGTGTTTCGTCAACTTAATGTGTTGCTTAAAATAATACGTCTGCATACAGTATATGTGACAATGTAACTAAGTGTTGCACGGCCAGATACGGCTCGAGAAGCTGACTCAGATAAGGAAATATTGTGATATCGATGTGAGATCGATGATCTGATTGATGATGTGATGTCAGTGTGATATGAATGATAAGTGCGACACGTCGGCGTCTTCTCTGCATACGGCAGTTTAAACTGCATTTCCTTTTTCCTGTAATATGACTTGATAGATTTAAACTCCGCACACTGAGCTCTGATCGGTCAGCAGGCGGTGCTTTCACTGAGTTGATCTATTTTCTATAGACGCCGGAGGCGGGCAGCGTAAGATGAATTTTTTTTAATTTAGCCTTCCCAAACCTGAGCCTCACGCGCCGCCTATGGACAGACAGCAGAACTTCTAGGATTAATTGTATATTTCGGATGGATAGATGTGTTCTTAAACGCCCTCGCATTGAGGTACAAGTCGAACAGGTGCCAGAGTCACACGACCCACCTGAAGAGTGAATAGTGAGTTTTGAATATATTTTGTAATAATGGGTCATTTGAAAAAGTGTTTTGTATGACAATAGAGATACAGGCCACCTGTTTGTGTTTCTCTCTAGCTCTCTCTAGCTCCGAGTCTCTAGTCTCCTCGCGAGAGAGCGAGAATCAGATATCGAAGAAGCTAGATGACGATATGCCACTCGATCTCTCTCTTCTCGTCTGCTATCTTCTCCTATCTCTGCTCTCTCTCTCCTCTCTCTCTCTCTCTCTCTCTCTCTCTCTCTCTCTCTCTCTCTCTCTCTCTCTCTCTCTCTCTCTCTCTCTCTCTCTCTCTCTCTCTCTCTCAGTTGTGTTTGGCTTTCCTTCATTATATTGGGAAATATATTTTATTTTCAAATGCCCTTTTCGATATTTTAATTTGAGACTCATTGACTCAAATATTTTCATTTGGGGGCTTAACCAAAAATAATGATACATGATATAGGTTCAAGCTATGCAGACATCGGCCACTAGAGGGCAGCACAGCACTGATAACACTGACATAAAATGATAATGGTGGATTATGCTCCCCCTTAAAGAGCCTGTGACACGAGTTTCCCCCATCATCCAAACCCATCAATTTGAGTAAATATTGTCCCCTTGAAACCCGTTACTGAACTGATTTTGGATATTTGTACTTTGATAACCATTAATCTGCCCTTCAATGTTGACCATTTCCTGGATCTTCTCGGGGATTCTTCAAGTCCCGCCAAATTACGTGTGACGTCATTGCGGGCACAGCGCTCCAGCTGCACGGTTCAGGATCCCAGCATCTGCATGTAAACGCACGATGGTGCACACAGCAGCAAACTCAGACAGCTCAGACAGTTTAATTTTGAACGTGTCTGAGAGCTCATATGAGGCTGTAGGATCGGTTTATGTTGTATCTGTTAGAAGTTTAGGAATTAGGTGCGTCAATATGGGCGATCATACGGTCATGTAGCCAGTGGTGGAATGGGACTAAAAGTCATCCCGGGACTCTCGACCGGCCCACTTCGGTACCGCTAGTAAATTGTCAACGGGGGGAGTGGGGGATGTCAGGGGCGGCGGGTGCTGTAGATAGTAAATATAAATATGTAAATATTTGTGTCACTGCATCCTGGTAAAATACAAATATAATGCAATGTCTGTGTCTTTGACATTAGCGCTGCTAGCCACCTGTGCCCTGTGCTACGAAGCCAGTTCAACAGACCCTGGATATGTTTGAGTAACAAACTAACTAACAACAACAAACTAACAAACGAGATCTCGCTAAGCGGTCCTACGACGCTGGTTATCAACTCGGTAAATCAAGCCAGGGTTTCTCTCACCAGCTGAGAGCGCGTTCACGTCTAAGACACGAGTGGATCTGACTTTAATTACATTTGACTCGAGTGTTTCGTCAACATAATGTGTTGCTTAAAATAATACTTCTGCATACAGTATGTGTCACTGTAAGTGTTGCACGGCCAGACACGGCAGATAAGGAAATATATGATATATTATGATGTTATATGATCGATGATCTGATTGATGATGTAATATGAATGATAAGTGCGACACGTCGGCGTCTTCTCTGCATAGGCCTACGGCAGTTTAAACTGTATTTCCTTTATCCTGTAATATGACTTGAGAGATTTAAACTCCGCACACTGAGTTGATCTCTTTTCTATAGACGCCGGAGGCGTAAAAAAAGTTATTTAGCCTTCCCAAACCTGAGCCTCACGCGCCGCCTATGGAGGATGTGCTAGTGATTTATCCGACCGGCCCACTTCGGTACCGGCCCATCGGGATTCGTCCCGATGGCCAGTCCGCGACTGCACCCAGCCCACGTAAACTGTCAACGGGGGGAGCCTCGCTGCGGGGAAACGGTGGACCTAGTGTCCCGATCGGAGTGGGAATAATAATAATAATAATCCGTGCTTTTTATCCATTAATTTCCCCAACATTGTGGTGAAAAAAACACACGTTTAATCCATGTTGGTGTACTACAACTACAAAAAGCATCGGTTTGTTTTCTCATCAGGAAATGCAGACCGGCACAAACAAACGATTTTTAATCATCATTCTCACGATCATTTAATCTATCATATGTTCGCCGAATTGACACGAAAGCACTAATACATGTAGTTTCATCCACTTGAGTTTACAACTACAAAAATAATCGATTTGTTTTTATATCACATCCTACGGGAGGAAATTCAGTAGCTCTCACTACCGATTTTTAATCCTAATGTAATCATCATCTTCACCACGATCATTTATGTTTATGTTCGCCGAATTGACATGAAAGCACTGACAAATATGAATATACTGTAGTCAACTTCATTAAAACGTTATTAACGTGCCTAAACTCAGTAATTCACAATTTCTACGCATGACAACACACTTTGTCCGTGTTTGGCTCTCTCGCCGCACAGTGAAGCGTTCCCGCATTGACGTCACTTCCGGCTTCCCCCAAAACTTCAAAATGAGTCGAAGGAATTTCCCGCGATGTTCGAAATTATTGATATTTAACGGAACGGTATCGCTTTTTCTTTTTTAAACTGACGGTTTGAGATTACTAGTAGCCCAATATTTCATTGCACAACAGTTGTTGGGATGCTGTCACAGGCTTTTTAAGGTCATGTATTTCAGATGCACTTTAAATCTGAACTGTTGAACGTCTGACAAACCTTCTGAGTGATTGGATTTTATGTCAGATTTTCCTTTTGATTGACCGTCTCATCCCAATATTCCAGCCTGTCCTCCTACGAAGAAAAACGACCAAATAGGTCGATTGTTCAGTAGTTTATTACAACCCATAGTCACGTTTTAAAGTGTAGCACCTCGAGTGGTCGTGTAAGAAACAACATGCTCCCGTTAATTGCAAACACTCCGGAGGGTCGTTTATTCACAAATAACCCTCTCTGGAAAATCCTAAATTGTAGAATAGTTTGGCCATTAAAATGCTTTTTGATTAGATTTCTAGCGAGAAGTGTATATTGTACTTTTAGAATCTACGTCCAGTGGATGTGTAGGATCTATCTATAGTTTGATAGACATTACGAAGATTATTTGAGGTCTCGCCAGGAGAACGTGTACTACGTCTTTACGCAGCGTCCATGTAAAGTTGGCGTCAACCCTCACAGGTTGAAAAGAGTATTTCCGGTCTCGAAGTTTTCATAATAAAACCGGAAGTATTCCCCTCACTGTCAAATGATTACACAGTGATATCTGCATTACTCATCCACTAAAAAATATCAGTTTATCTTTGTTAATTACACAATATTGATTGGTTTAAA